GAGTAGTCACAAACCCCATCTCATTTAGAAATATAGATTCTTAACTCAGCTCATATTGGATAATTCACTTTACCTTGACACAGTTCAAATGATACCCAATGGTATCTTTATAAAAGGTTAAAGTGTTTGAGATATATTGGCTTAAAAAGTATGGATTGAAAACAAAAGTTAAGAAAAAATCCTGCAAAACAAAAAAGAAAATGACACTAAGCAGTCAAGCAATCAATTTACCAACCAATCATATAAATATATATCATACAAAGCCCATTCTCTAATAACCTATATTATGTTTCTTTGTTTTATCCATCCTTCCATGTTCAATCAGCTTTTCCTAGTGAGGGTTAAGTCTTTCTTACACTTTAGAAGCATTCCAGTGGGTGTGCAACATTTATCTGTGAGAGTTTTACAAGCATAGAAAGGCATTCACTGTCTGTCTCAGATGCTTGGTCAAGAAGGCAGCTTTGTCAGAGATCTGTAGAGATATGTTATAGTGTAATCAGTGGAATAGGATCAGGCTAGAGGCCCTAAAGATAGTCCATGCCTAACATCTTAAGTGAAGAAAGAAAATAGATTTTTGAGTGTTTTTTACTTTAGAAAGGGAAACTTTAAAAAGTATTTTTTTCTTTTTCTGGAGAGTTGTTCACCCCGCAAGGCGTCAATTTATTTTAAGTTCCCATTTTTTATTTTGTTCTGGAATATTCTTCATAGTCTCAAAATCTTTATAAAGTTTTATATAAAATAATGTGCCTTTTCATCACTTGATCATAGTGTAGAATTAAACAGTACAGGGACAGGAATTAGAAGAACTTTTTGTTCAGACGTTTTGTTGCTCTCCAGGTGATACGGGAAGACGTTCAAGTATGCAGACATTGTAATTTCAGATATTACCATGAAGACAGACACGAAAGCAAATTCTTGGCAGCCTGGTGATGATCTATAAAAATAGCTTGACTTCGGCACATTTTCTTCTCCTCTGCTGTGTTCATCCTTCAGTGGAAAGGGTGATGGGTTGTTGAGATGAAGTACTGCTGAACTCATATAAATGCTTCCTGCCTACCTGTAGGTCTCTGAACTCTATTCCTCCTCTGCTCCTTGGGAATTGTACAGTTTAATTTTAGTAACTGCCAAAATACTGAACTTTTCACGTGTCTTGGATTTGATGACAAGCTTGGACTCAATGAATGAATATTCTTCTAATTCAAGCCACATGGTTTGCATAAAGGTACTGTATGCTTAAATAGTGACTGTTTTGTTTGAGTTCGTGAAGCAAAAGCATTTGCACTTTTATAAGATAGGGAATAAGAACAAAAAAATAAATAACGGTTTGAGACATATTATGGAGACTGAATGCCTTTGTTATTCTGCTGTCCCAGTGGAAACGCACATGAAATCAGTCAGGTGAGCCAAGTTCTTCCAAACAGTTCTCAAAATGAAGTTGGATAAATGCAGATGGGCCAATGTTGAACATTGCACAGTTCTATTCTTTCCAAGAAACGATGTTTAGCCATGCATCTCATGATTGCCAGATCTACGATAGATATTATCTGTAAAAGAGATACTTCTAAAGATACATAATTCCTGTTTCCACCTGTTTTATCAGCTTAACTTGCCTAAAAGCAGGGATATATCCATAATGGAAGTATTGTAATGCAATGCATTTTAATGTGCCTGAATGTGCTATTGTTCTGTGATAGGCATTGTACAGATACATAGCGCAAAACCTCTGGATTATACTGGATATGAATGCACTGATCTTGGTATGAATGTGCAGTAATGCTGTCATAGAAATGTTGTCTATCTATTTCAATTAGAATCCCTTGAGCTTCCACAAAGGGTGCCAGATTTTTGCAACATGAGTTATGAACAGCTCTTAGTTCTGATATGCTGGGTTATCAGAAGGAGCTGTAAAAAACTGTAATAGGAGCAATATACTCGATTTGATAGACAATATTCTACCAACAGTACAGCTTTTCAGAGCATAATTGTTTTCTAAAGTATTTATACACTTTAATTAGGTGGACAATGTAACAAATGTGCCATGGTTTCAGACCAATATGACAAGATTTGGGTTTTACGAATGAACCAATTGAAATTTGTAGATATTCAAGAAAGAATTACAAGCCAATTGAAATTTGAAGATACTGAGGAAAATAATTACAAAATAATTACAAAACATCTTCTCAAGGAAATCATTACGTTTGAACTGCTAAAACTATAGCCATGTTCTTCTTTAATCTGATAGCAGTTTTATTGAAAAATAGAAGTTAAGGACTGTTGATAACTTATCATTTTTTATAAATTGGGTAAACTTGGGACAAAAATTTAATAAAACAAGATTGTGCAGACTGAAATGTTTATGTAGATTTTAACCACAGAGCAAACCACAAAGAGGTCATTAAAGTAATATGCGATGTCTGAAACTATGTTTTCAGTACAGTGCCCTGCACATTTATTCATGTCCCCAGTAAAAAAGAAACAAAAACATATAACAGAAGAGATTGTCTTGCTTGAAAAAGTCTAAAAATGCTGTAATGATAATCTTATTAGCTTTGTGCAGTATCTGTCACCAATAATTAAGGTAAATACAGACAATACAAAAGGTCACAATTATGTGGATGCTGCACATTGGTGGTGGTGAAGGGGAGTCCCCGTTACCTGTAAAGCGCTTTGAGTGGAGTGTCCAGAAAAGCGCTATATAAGTGTAAGCAATGATTATTATTATAATTATTATAATTATAATAATTATTATAATAAAAATAATAATAATTATAATTATAATAATTATTATTATTATTATTATTATTATTATTATTATTATTATTATTATTATTCACACCAAAGTGAAGATTTATAAATGAGATTTGGGTACTATGAGGGGGGGTGTCACCGTTCCTCCTTTGTCAACAGATTTGCTTTAGGTTTTTCATAAATGTTGGTCTCCTTGTGAACTACCTTGAAGCACAAATGTTTGATTTGACCTACTGTAGGTCTGGAGATTGAGGCAGCCAAACAAGAGTATTTTGTTTCATCTGACTATAAGACATGACTTCAGTTTTCAAAAGCAAAAAGAAGTAAACAGATAATTATCAAAGTAGCATTCCTAATTACATAAATATTCAAACTGTTTCTTGTGTCAAACCTAGATTAATGTAGGTTTTAATTGTGTGGCTCATTAGGTGCACACAATTACCTTCACAAGCCACACAAGTTGTGTGTGCTCTGTCTGTCTGCAGTAATAATGGTTCACACAATTTCAGAGTAAATATAATACAATAATTCTCTGCAAGGTTCTTCAGTCAGAAAGTGATTTTTTTTTTAAAAGATTCAACCACGAAGACTTAAAGAGATTTAAAAACAATTCAGGAATAAAGCTGTACAAAGGCACAGATCTGGAGAAGAGAATAAAATGTTTCACAATTCCTTAATAGCCCTTTGAGTCGGGTGAAGTTGATGAGTGGAAGTGGAAGGCACCCAGACACAGCTTATATCCGGCTGTCTCTCTAAACTGAGCTGTCAGGCAAGGAGGAGACTAGCACGCAAGTTACTCTGAAAGAATTACTGTACAGAGTGCAGTTGCTCAGATGGGAGAAAATGTGCATTAGCCAACAATTTCCACTCCACAAGCGGGCTTATGTGGAACTGAAAAAAAACTTCTTAAGATCAACATCAGTTATGAAAAAAAGCACCTAGGTTATACTGCAAACACATGGCAAAAGCTTTTGTCTTCAAAGACAAAATGCATACTTTCAGGTTTAAATACAAAGAGTTACATCTGAGTAACAAACCCAAAATAGATAGATGGATGCTTTATTGATCCCATGAGGGAAATTGCAGAAATAGTGATCACTCATTAAGCAGCAATACCATCTCTTCTGTCAAGCATGATGGTGGCAGCATTATGTTCTAGTTCTGCTTCTCATCAGCAGAGACTGGGAATCTCATTAAGACTGATGGGAACTTAGCTTAGTACTGGGAAATCGCAGGTCAATAACGCAAAACACAAGGCCGGAGTCACAGTTCAGTGGTTTAAGAACAAGAAAGTGCATTTTCCTGAGTGAAAATCACTTAAAATGATCTGAAAGTCAGTGGAAAACCTGTTGTACAATAGCAATCCTCAAGCAACTTGAGAGATCTTGAGGAAATTTGTCATGAAGAACAGGCACAAATTGCACCAAATTGGTGTGAAGGTTTGGTAGACACGTACACAAAAAGATTTGTGATTGTAATTGCTGCCAGAGATGCTTCCACCAAATACTGAGTTACTGGATTTGACTATTTATACAATTAAATATATTTTAGTTTTTTCCTCTGATGTTTTTACTGGCTTTTACTGTATCTTATCTTACCCTTAGACATCTTCAGTTTGAGAATTCTGCTTAAAATATTTTATAAAAAATCTTAAGTTTCACTTTGTAATTTTGTAATTTCATCGAATGGGACACCATTGGAAAGGTTTGAATACTTGTTTTCAGGCACTGCATCTGACTAAATCTGTTCTTAACATGACCATGTGTTTCAATCATTTTAAAAGAGATCCAAAATTTTTTTCCATCTCTTATAAAAAAATTGCATTGTTACTGAAGTGATGTAATGTACAAATTGCCTTTTGCATTGATTTTGCCTTTGTTAGAAAATGCATGGATTCCTATAGCCTAACTGCTTTATCAAACAAGCAACACACCAGGGCCTGATGTCCCGGAAGCCAAGTAACCTACCAGGATTTCTTTGGACTGTGAGAGGAAAATGAAGCGCTTGGAGGAAACCTCATGAACACAATGCAAACGTACAAACCCCACGCAGTTTGTAATTACTTTTATTAAGACTGGTTATTTTAACTCAAATGTAGGATTTCTCATGGGAAGTCTCACAATTATAAATAATCAGAGATCAGTTAAAAACCCATAGCAATTCTACCTTCTCTCCTTGGTTTTATTAGTATTATAAATTATATTTCTACTGCTGCTATTACTACTAATAACCAAAATATTTTTATGTTTTAGGAAAAGCACAACAAAGGACTTGAAGAAATGAGGAAGGCCGGACATGAAGCTTTGACTATAATTGTTGAGGAATTTAAGGTATGTGAATACGGTATACATTTTTCATTTACAGTATTACTGCAAAGAGATGACTGGCCATTTTCAGATATTTTAGTAGGGAAAAATATTCAGTAGTGAAGTGACTTTATTCTAAGTATCCAAACAAAAACAAACATTTGCAACATAGTGCTATTTCAAAAACGTATGAAATGTTGATGCACATCTCTCTCAACTGTGACGGCTTTTGTTTTAGCATCCAAATGCACCAGCATGTTTGTCCTTTCAGGAGGTAGCAAAGGAAGAAGTAAAGGCTTATTCCATGCGAAAAAGAGAAGAAAAGAACCACAGCATTTCGGCTGTGGAGCGTTCTTCGAGTGTGAGAAAGAGAAGGACGTCAGCAGCTGATATAGCATCTGAGAACAAAAGCCGGGAGTGTAGAGGAGGCCAGAGCAGGGAAGAGGCAGAGAGGATACTCAGGTGGTGTGTAGTCGAGAGAGGTGATGAGACGTGTGAAGTCGAAACCTGCAAAAGAATAGAGAGGATTAGAAGGAAACAAACGTCGTTGAGAAAAGGAGGATGGTGTGAAGCTAGTTTCAGGATAATTTTGGTCTCAGATGTCTTTCTGCAATAGGAGTTAAGAAACCCTACTTTGAGAATGCAGATGGAGAGATCAGTGTGATCATGGCCGTCAGAGGTGAAATGAGAAACTATGGGCTTGGAGAAATCTTTGATCCTCACAGCCCTGACATGTTCACTGAAGCGGTCTCCGAGTCTCCTTTTGTTTTCCCAGTGTAGAGATAGCTGGGCATTTACTGCAAGAGATACAGTAAATAAGGTTGTACATTTTTTACAATTTTTCTCAAAGGATGAATCTTTAAATGTTACAAAAGAGGAAACATAGCAAAAATATTTTGTCTGTTCTTTCTGTTTTATCCAACTCTTTGTGGCATTCATACTTTCATGTGTCCTTAATCAGACCTTTTTATAGTCTTATTGTAAAGAGCACAAGAGCATAATAGACACTGAAATAAAAAACAAGCTAAGTGCTGTCATCAAAAATTTGGTGCTATGGAACAGTTTCCCCGAAAATCGTTGAACTCTGTTAATTACTGTCAAAACCATTATGACAGCACAGTGTTGAATTTCAGGAGAAGGTTAATTTGATAGTCTGGTTCACTTAGGAAAGCCTTAGTAGATGATCCTTCATTATTTAACGCAAGTTAAATTAAAATGTCTTTCATGCGATCAGTTTGAAGTTTATCTTTTAAATATTTTTTTTAAATAAGCAATGATTTGGATGATATATTTTGTCACCACAAATTTTGTATTTTTGTGCAGGGAAGGTTCAGAAGATTACCTTTTTCCAATCAACAAAGAGATTAGCTAAAAAGAAAATGTTTAAATAATTTTGTTGCATTTGCAGTTTGGTAAATATCCTTATAAAACCATCATTTATCGAAAACCTACAGGTTGTCAATTTTTTTTCCCATTGAATCTCCAAAGAGATTAGCATTGAATGGGCTATTATAAGTAGTCTACAAGTTTGTTTTTATTAGGATTTTCTGGAGCAAGAAAATGATCGCTCTTTAAGTAAGCTGAAATACACATCACATCACTTTTAATACCACTTATTCAATTCAAGGTCATAGTTGCCCAAAATATATTCAGGGACATCTTGGGCGCAAGATAGGATACACCCAGGACTAGTCCATCACAGGGCACACACAGACACAGACATACTCAAACCCACACCAGGGCCACTTCGGACTGTGGAAGGAAACTGGAACACATGGAGGAAACCCATGCCAACAGGGGGAAACCATACAAACTCCAGACTCCACGCAGATAGAACCTCAGGACTCCAGCTCTGAGAGAAAGCAGTGTTTCTGCCACTCTAAACACATTAATTAAGAAAAAAAAGTTTAATGATTTGTCGATTTGTCAGCTTAAAGTGAAATCTATCTTTTTTCTCAGATGTGGTGTCTAAGACTGACATGGGTAAATAGAGCACAACTAACTCTTTGAAATCACCATTGATGTAATTTCAGATTTCAGTCACCAGACATTTATTAGATTAATAATAGGCATTTTTAAACTTTGCACAACTAGAGCAACTAATATGCCCTCACCACAAGTGGCGTATTAGTAATGAAAGAATTATTACTAAAGGGATGTTTCAGTATTAACAATGGTGAATACAGGTGTTGGAAAAGGAGATAGTCATCTTACATAATAAAGGCGATCATAATAAAACTAAACCTTTATTGCAAATGGCAAATTGGGCTTTAATGTTCATATGTTAAAGTATGTTATCTTCAGTCTGCATTCCCAGTGAAAATGTAAAATAATAAAAAAGGTAAAAAAGAATGTTTGGAGAAATAATTGCAGGAAGAGGAAAAGGCTGATATTTAAATAAATGGCCAAATGGATTTGCCGGGAGAGTTGTACAGATGTTTTAACCAATTTTTTTTCTTTAAGTACTGCTATTCTATTTCGTAAGGAAGTCAAGCATTTGCTAAGGATGGATTGCAACCTTCAAATTATTTTTACAGAGAGTCTTATATTAATACACAGATAATAGAGAGGCTATAGTTTTCATCCGCTTTTATATTGTATAGATGTCAGAACCACTTATAGTTTGAAAAGTAAAAATTATGTTGGAAGGTTGGGGTAATTGGTAACACTAATTTAAAATAGAGCTAATCTGACCACTGAAATCAAAAGCTATTGTATTTAACCTACTGTAAATATTGTATTTTGGGTTGCAGATAAACCAGACAGTGGTATACACATACAGTACAGCTCCAATAGCAACTTGTCATTTTAATATTGATTCTGAGTACCTTTCCTCACTGTAGCACAACCAATGTTATATAATTTTTAATAGGTTGTGATATTTTGCCGTTACTGCTGTAGAGTATATGGAATAAACATTTAATGTGAAATGTAACAGATCTGACCATCATATGATTGTCTGTTTAACAGTCTTGTTAACTCTGAGAACACCACTCACTTGCATTAAACAAATGGGGCACTTTTCAGAAAATAAGAAAAATAAGGTCAGAATATCTAACTTCTGTACTACATTTATCTAGCTAAATTTCATGATGCAGTTACAGATACTATAGACAACTGTGGGTCAAAATGTTATAGCCTTTCTGTGAGTTGGGTCTAAAAATAGGTATCTGTGTCTCGGCCTTGAAACTCTAAGAGATTGTGTAAAGTGTTTAATGAGCTGTGAAGGGCATTTCAAACACTGTAGCAGGTTGTAGGAAGCCCTGAAGTCCGGTGTCTGGGAAACTATTTGAGGTATTCCTTGTAGTTTGTGAAGCAGAGCAGGATTGTGGGTTGTGAAGTAGTATAGGAAGATATGAGTAATCCAGCTGGTGTTGTGATTTGTTTACTGTTGATGGATTTATAGATTATGATGGATGTGTTTGTATCAATTTGTATCCAGTATCAATTGATTTTTTATCATTATCTCTGACATTTGTTCCTAAAGCTCTACAAAAATATACTGTGCTACAGTTATATTTTTCTGTGACTGTAATCTTTGTGACATTCTTGGTAGATGTAGCACAACTTTCAGTTATTAATTGTTCTGCAGATTGATATTCATGCATAGGGGTTTTGTCAAAGGAACGTTTTATTTTTACTGAACGGAAATTTTTATTTTTATTTTATTATTTTAGTAAGGAGAACTGGCCAGATCATCCTCAGACAACATCTGATAGTACTTTGGCCAGCAATGACTTTAAAAAATGTAATCTAAATGGCCATTTTTGTGGAGCATTTGGCACTGTAGTATTTTTGTTTTTCTTTTTATTATGCTGTTTGTTCATTTTGTCATCCTTTATGCCTGCAAAAAAATGAGCATTAAATGTGAACTATACAGTCTACTACTACACTGTGCTTTGAATGTTTATTTTCGACATAGATTAAAAGTAGCTGCAGTTACATTTGGTGCAGCTACTGTACAGTACCTTTGGTTTCTTCTTATAAGGCTGAGAACATTTCCAACCACAAGAAACTTGTCAAGTAGAATTTCATTATAAAAGTCTGCACACTGATATGAATCACTATAAGATTTTGCTTTAATGCTCTTCTCCTGTCTGTTTTTGCATGTTTCTAATTTAGCCAGAAAGGTATTTTTCCTTCCTTCTGTCTTGAAATAACAGAACAAGGTACCAAAACCAGAGAGAGTTCAGAGGACATATTTATTTCACTATAATTGCTTGAATTAGACTTCACAGTATTGTGAATTGCATGTACATTTGAATTTGGTTTTACATATAAGATGAGATGAGATCACTTTATTGGCCATATACAATTTCTTGCATTAGGAATTTGTCTTACCCCAGCTTGCTTTCCATGAGACACACAAGACAAGGAGAGAAGCTTGGGGTCAGAGCACAGGGTCAGTCATTGTACAGTGCCCCTGGAGGGCCTTGCTCAGGGACCCAACGCAGTAGGATTCCTCTGCTGGCTATGGGATTTGAATCGGCAACCTTCTAGCAACAGGTGCAGGTCCTTAACCACAGAGCCACCACTCCGCCCCATATAATAATATAATAAGAACTGGTAGCAACATTTTTGCAAAAGTTCATATGTTGTGCTATTTGATAAAAGAATGAGTGAAAAAGCAAGTTCCCTGTACTTTTACCTGTAGATATATTGACTTGGCTGACATCATCAGGTGCCAGCAATTGTGTGTGGAGTAATGCATTACTGGCATTGTTCTGATGAGTTTGGTTTGAAAGTTCTAATGCTAACATACTGTGTGTAGCATGTAGAGCAAAAGTGATTGGATGCATGACAGCTTATTTTACACATCCTTGACTTTGTACTTAGTTCATTTAGTGAAACCATTTCATCCCGTGGTTTAACAGTTGCTTCCAGATTTGGAGTGTCCTGTTCACTGTTCTTAGTGCTACAACCCATCTGTGAATGACAGAGATGGAAAACTATCGTGAGTCTCCAGTTTCAATTGCTTGCCAGGCCCTCCATGAACAGTTAACATGTGTACTCAAGCCCTATTC